GACCGCTACCTTCAGCTGCTATACTGGGACACATGTTCAAGCCCCGCAAACGGCCCTTTTATTTGGGTGATCCTCACTTGCTAAAACTCGCGCCGGGCCAGCCGCTATACCTTCGACTGATTCGGGCGCTATACTGGAGGCGGCGGCGGACCCCGATCAAGAGTTCCTCCTGAAGGCGGAGGAGGGGCTACGGGTAGGTGTTCGTGAACCGCTACCACGGACTGGCCGCTGGAGAACGCCTTCTAAGCGGCGCTAGCGTGGGTCCCCAACCAAAAATGTAGGTGGACGAGTGCCGTGCGTTCGCTATAGGGAAAAGTTCGAGGAGGACGTGGTTGAGGGGCTCATGGCTAAGATGACCTTGGGTGAGTTCAAGGCCCGCTACGGCGAGCGCCGAGCCATCGCTGCGCTAGCCGTCATTGTCGAGGAGGGGCTACGGGCAAGAAGAGGATGATCCACGATGCTTCAATCACCGCATCAAGTATCGTGACAAGATCCGGGCCCCGGGCACTAGGGAGAAGAAGCAGCTTCTCCGGGAACACATGGAGGCTAGCGAGGTTGCCTTGTCCGTGGTGGGTGATATCGCAAGGAGAGCATGGCTACCTCGGGTGTGGGCTCCGGCTCACGTACCCTGCTAGGGCCATCTTTCCCGCTGACATGCTACTCTACGCCGACGATCTCGAAAAAAAATAGGGGCTAGAGAAGACATGGGGATCCCGCTAGTCTTGCCTAGCCGGCTTGAGTGGCTAGGCATGGAGACAGAGTACTCCACGTGGCGCGGGAACGCCCCTTCCTGGGCCCGCTCCTGCACGCCTGGCTACACGGACCGGCTTTTTTCTGCACCTACTATGGGCCTTCCGTAAAGGCGACCCGAACAAGGTCATCGCTGCGCTAGAGCTACTGGCTACACTGGTGGGAGTGAAGCTCTGGGTCCCGAGAAGGAGGCTAAGAAGATCCGTCCTGCGGGTGGCTATCCGACACGGACAACCAGTCCAACGAAGCGCTACTGAGGAAAGCTATGACGACGAAGATCCCCTCGATCCTGGTGCTATAATGGAGCTGGCGGAAGAGCTCTCCGCTAAAAACTGTGCGCTACAGCTCCAGTGGATCCGCCACGATCTGCTTCAGGCTGAACCTGGAGGGGGAAAAGCTAGAGTGGCGCGTGCTGGGCCGTCTCTTCGAGCACTCGTCTGGCTACTTCCAAGAGCTCGGAGTGAGGAAAAGAACCGAGGGACCGAAGGTCGCAAGGTTCGCTATAAGAAGGCCCGTATAAGCTAGGTCCCTGGTAGCCCTGCGGCTGCGCTAGGAGATCAGCTAGCCAAAGGCTAGAGTTTTCCTCCGGGCTAACGCGGGACTTTCGCCACAACGCTAAAAAGAGAAGCTCGTGTTGTCCGTGCTACTGTCTGAAGCCGGTTAGCTAAAGCTAGGCTTGCTACGAACTCCCAGGAGGTGTTGCGGGAGGTGGCGGGAGGATACGCTAGCTAGTGTAGCCGATCGTGATATAAAGATCCCCCGCGGCTTTTGCCCACTTTCCTTTTCCTGGAAATGGCCATGGCTGCTTCAGCGGCAGCCTAGCAAGCAGCTCAATGAGCAGCACAGGCTGCCAGCCAGGCATCGCAGCAGACGGCGCAAGCTTCGCAGCGACTGCTCGATGCAACGGAGAACCTCCGGCGGTCGGACCTTCTGAGGAGCCTGCTCCAGAAGCCCAACGTCTTCAGGATTCGGGACAGTGAAGTGGAAGGACGGCTCGAATGGCGCCGGTGAGCTACCTGGAGATTGTCGACCCCACTTCGTGAAGGACCTCGTGACCGTGAACCCGACCAGGATCCCTGACTCTGCAAGCGTGGATGTGGCCCAAGCATGCAAGGCGCTGCGTTGAGCTATACAGCATTTTGCTCAGTTTCCTTCGTCATCAACCTGCGAAGCTGGTCAGGGGCGTACCGAACAACAACGAGTACGAGCGATGGCGACGGGTCTTCGTCGCCGACATGCAACCCAGCTCTCGCCAGCAAAACCTTGCACTTGCCCACCAGCTTTCCAACGTGAAGTTCGACGCGAAGGTATCCTTGCTGAGCAGCTCATGAAGCGAATCATCGCTGTGTTGAGAGTGTAGTGATCTTGGAGTCAGAGGGGCTGTAAAAGACTACACATTTGGTTGCCTGTGATCAGAGGTTGTGTGCAGATGCAGCCGAGTAGTGCCAAGCCGGTGCCTGTTCCGTAATGCTTGTCACGAGCGCAACGCATCCACTGTTCGTTCAACACTTCCGCAGTCTTGGCTACAGATTTGGAGCACGTCTTTGCCCTTTCATTGGTCCATAGGGCACATGATTGCTCCAGCCTTCTATTTCACTCGACACTGTACTGCCGATTAAATGCGTTTTAGTATACGTTTGTGTTTTTGGTGTACCACATGCCTTCTGCTTGAGATCCGTTGGCGCCGCTGCAGCGCTGGATTTCGTACACTCAGCATGAGGTTTTGCAAATCAAGCGAGAGCTTCATGAGCATCGTCAAGAAGTGCTTGCTACACAAAGAATTCAGCAGCAGCAGTTAGACAGTCTGCAATCACAGATCCGAGACGGGCAACAAGTTGCTGCTGAGATCAGTGGAGCTGTTACAGAGCTGTTTCAAAAGTTGCAGAAAACACAAGACCTGAAGGAGAAGGCGTTGGCCTACGAACGTTCTACCGCCAAGTGGCATCTCAACTCTTCAGGACTTGCTTTGCCCTCCTCCAAGGTCACGGTCCACGAGCTGCAGCCTATGGAGATTGACCAGGTGACCCGGAAGGGAAACGGCAGAAAGGGCGAAGGCCCTGGAAAGAAAGGCAGAGGGAAGGGCAAGGCTTCTTCAGCATCTTCCCCGGCAGCAGGTGCAGGCAAGGGCGGCGCCACCAAGGACACCGAGTGTTTTGCCTGCGGCAAGTGTAGGCATTTAGCTCGGGATTGCCGGAACAAGGGAAAGAACAATGACAAGGTGCAGCAGCTGATCAACTACAAGGAGCACGACTCTCCAGGAACAGCTTCACAAGGTGGAGCGAATCATACGGGTGTGCCAATCCGACCTCATGTAGGAACGGCTGCACGCCTTGGCCACTATGCTGGTCATCAAGGAGGGCGCGGATACTGGAGGTTTCACAGCTTCTGAGCAGGTGTACACGCAGCAGCGGCGCATGAAGTCCCTGGCACGGGTTCCCTGGACCTTCGAACCGTTGAAAAGGTAGGGCACCATTGGTCGGCAGCCATGACCGCGAGGTTGATCGTTGGGGCCGTGGCCAATTCACCATTACGTCGGGCCAAAGAGAACCTACAAGGAGCTGAACCCCGTCACCTTTGAGCCCACCTGTGGGAGCACGAGGATATGCCTGGTCTTCTTGCGACATACGACAGCTTCGAGATCTTCGCTTCCACTTTGAAGTCCATCTATCATCAGACCTGCCGCAACTGTGGCGTAACCGCATGATTATTTGCGTGCCCAACCAAGATCCGTCGCGGGTCCGCAAGATCAAGATTGACCACAAATTGGGGTCACCCAGGCTCGCCAACGCTGCGACCGGGCCCAACAAGCTCGGGACAAGCGTCAGTCTGACGCGGCAGCTCCTCCCACGGACAAGAGGCAACGCGATGAAGGAACCAGCGCCACTGATTTCTGCCAGGGCTTTTGGCCACTGCCCAAAGGCCTGCCATGACCAGTGCCATCCTTTTGCACATGTGTGCCTGTCAATGGTGACACCCGTGAAAAAGGGATTTGTACGGCCATTGCAGGTACTTGCAAGTGATTATGGCGACTAGCTCGACCGTGGTCCTGTTGTTTGGATATCTTCTGAACCTCTCATGTGCTGGTTGGTCCTATTGGATACGGGGCAGCCGCAGTATGCAATCCTGCTCGGTGGAGATGGGGACGAAGTCTCATGTGCTTGCTGGTTCAACAGAGTATGGGGCAGCACAGCCTGGATCGTTCACAAGAACCAAGTAGTAGGGGTAGCTTAGTTCAGACATGTTTCGGTTACAACGTCGGTTTCACGTCAAGTGAGTGCTTGGTGAGGTAAGACACCCGCCATGCGTGGAGTCCGCTCGCGTTGTGTTCAATTGCAAAATTGTCGTTGTTGGCTCGTGAGTCCTGGCGGGTACGCTGCTGGGGTTGCCGTTAAACCCAAGCACGTTAGGTGAAGACGCGAAGTTTGCGAGGTCGTCGATCTCAGGAACTGAGTGAGCCTCGTTATCAACCTCACAACAAGCTGCCCTTCAGCAGCATGGTACGACTACTCCGCCGTGCACTGTACCGTACCTCATGATGTGGATCCAGGGTGGGTCCTGGCGCCCCATGGCCCTTCACCAGTGAATGAGGGCTCATCGTTCTAAACTGCTTTGCAGCTCCAAGTCTCACAGCGGCCACACGATCTTCATGAACTGTAGTAGCCATCTGTATTTCGGTTAGCGCACTGGTCCCCATACCTCCTTTTGGAGGTGACTGATTGTCGTCCGCCTCAGGAACAGTTTCCTCCCGTCGAAGATCCACACTGTTAGGGAGTCTCTGGTCTCCAGGCACTGGCTTTTCGTCTCCCGGATGCCTGTGCCACATTCGCTAACTGCACTGCTCCATTGCTTGGTCCTGCCACTTCCCCTTCCAGTGTTGGAGTTTCTGCAGCTGTTTGGGCGCTCATAACCTGTAAAGATCAGAGCCTCTCTGGACCTGACTGCCGCAAGTCTGTCAGAGAGGCAGGAACGATGAAACGAGCACAGCGATCTAATGTTTCCGCAGAATGCAACGTCTAGGCTGTGCTGTACCGCATCCGTGCATGGCATACAGCTTTAAGCGCCCGGTGCGGCAGGGCTGACAGCTCTGCTTTCGATGGAATTTCATCCATATGTCCTGAACCATCAGCACACATCAAGGTTGCCCATGACATGCCAGCTCCACCAGCAAGTATCTACACATAACAGGGTTTAAGTTTAACACGTCTTCAATATCTTAGGAAGAGGTGCACTTTTCCCTTGATGGTGATGAGGTTCGCCGCGCCAAGAAGCGCAAAACTGGTCAAGTTCGCGGAAGTGTTTTAAATCCAAAAAATGACAACAGCCTGAGTCTCGGCCAGCAGTGGGGCAGACGGCGCGGTTTTTGACGGGGAGCTGAGCTGAAGGTGGCCGACCGCAGGGCGAGTTCGGGCTCCTGGAGGCGTTCTTGGATCGTCTGACACACCCTCCCTATTCTCACTCCGATGAGGCTGAGTTCGGCTTGCTGTTGCGACAAGTCGTCGAGGATGCTGGTGATACCCAAAGATCCGTGTGCAGAGTAACTCTTGCCGGCTCCACTTGTGATCCAAGGCCCGGCTACTGGAAGTGCAGCTTCGGCAGGCTCGGCCGTTTGCGAGACTGTTCAATTCTTGGAAGAGTACCGTGTGAGGTGTCGCAAATCGATCAGAGGAGCCTGGATCAGACAGGCTCATTCCGGTTTCTGTAGGATTTCGACGGTCAACTTCTCTATTCCGACCTGCTTTGAGATGGTTGAAGCTTGGCCAGCGAAATCTACCGAGGCTTCGAACGGGCAGAGACGAAGACGAGGAGGAGCGAGGAACTTGGGGCACTCCTACTTGAGTCTGGAGCTTGGGGGGCACTGGATTGGGGTCCGAGTCCGCGAGTCCGAGGCCTGGGAGGCCCCGCCTACACCTTCGGCGTGTGGTGGACCCCCGGCATCCTGGCAAGGCCGGGAGCTGAAGGAGAGATGCAGAGGCACAAAGGATGGCAAAGGCTTCGTCTTTTTATCACTATGTACCCTTCTTCATCAATGCCTGGCGCGTCTCGTCATGCTCAGGCCGTTTGGGACGTCGGCATTTCCATTATGATCGTGTACTCGGCCACCCTGGCACTTCTTCGGAGCCACAAGTGATCCTTCACATCCGTTGCTTGAGCCTGCAGTGTTGCATAATGATGCGAGCTGCGAGACCTGGCATGCAAGTGAGAACCAGTTCTCCAGTTCTCTTGCAATGTCTTGTCTCACATGCCGCAACAGGTCCTGGTGGAGCCGTTCCGGATTGGCTTCGGCGTGGAAGTATCGGGTGCAATGCTCGCAGTGACCCCGGCTTTGGCCCACTTCTGCGGTAGGCTGCTTGTCGGAGCGTGGTCAGGCCATAGACATCTTTGTGGATTGCCTCTTCGTGATAGACATTGCGAGCTCCTCAGCTTGTCCACATCGGGCCATCATGCGCAGTCCCTCTTCGGCTTTCGTCTTGATCTCACACTGCGAAGCTGTGCGACACAGCAGCAGTCGTCTGCGTCTGTTGGATCAAGGTGTTGACGTTCCTCACTGCATACCTCGACGAACGTGAGGCAAAATCGTGCTGCACTATCATGACTGTCATGCGGGTTTGGGTTAGCCATCCATCGAACTTGTAAAACTGTGGCAGCTGCTAAGCGCCCAGACCTTTCCGCTGTTCGCAGGTGTTGGTGACAAATCGACTGCGGATAGCGCAGCGATATTTGAGGGGTTTCTTCGTGATTGACGCAACTGAGCTGCACGTTCGTAGAGCTGCCACTATTCCCTGGGGTCCGACGTAGCATGCGGAGATGCCGCGTCCCAAGGTGCCCCTGCAGTCCCCCATAGGCACCTGTCAGCCTGTCACTGCTCCGCATCCTAGTATGTTAACCACACCACAACAGAAGCAGACGGTAAGAGCTGAATCTCGCAATCGGTGATAAACCTGCGCGGTGGTGGGGGGAGCTGGGCGGGACAAATAGCGGGGGCAGCTGGACCGTTCACAGTTCAGCGGACGTCAAGCAACAGATCGATTTGATTACCGAACTTCACTGACATGGCGAAGATGTGCCTGATTGGGGTTCCAATCATGCTGCAGACAATTGTTTTTGAACCTTGGGACTTGGGCCTGTGAAGGGTTCTGCCGCAAGCTTCTGTTTGGCAGCTCAGGTAGCATCCGTTTTCCCGGCAGAGCTCTTCTTGCTGGCAATTCAGCATGGAGCTTGTTTTCTGAGGTGTAGCATTAGTAGTATCGTGACAAAGCCCCTTCCTGTAATCCGACGAGAAAGCCTTTCGTTCTGCCATCCCTGTGCTTGGGTTCTTCAGGCCGGACATCGCTACGCAAGCACGTGCAGTGAAGCTGCTGAGGCCGCGTAAAATGGAAATGTGCGACGCACTTCAATTGCTTGAATACAGAAGGAGAGCCAGCAAGTCATTCGACTTCCGTTTTTTCTTGTCTTATCTCAAGCTTCGTCCATCGCCAGGCTTGTTAGACTCATGAAGTTGGGGAGGCTGTTCAAGCTGAAACGCTTGCCGTGCACTCGGTTGAGCTTGCAAGAGCCTGTGGATCAGGTGGCCTAGACAAGAGCATCTAGAGTCCAGAGGGTTCATCTTGCTTTCGCTCCAAGGGTGCTCCTCGTAGAAGAGAAACTGAACTTCAGTCTGCAAGTGTGCGGCCCTCAGAGGGCTGTCTATCTGTCTGTGTCTGTGTTTGCGTCTGTGTCTGTGTCTGTGTCTGTGTGTGTACACACACCTGAACATGGTGTCAGAGTGAGCCTTTCCGATGAAGTAGACTGCAGTCGTTTTTCTTTCAGGCTTGGGGACAGAGGGAGTGCGCAGGGGCTCTGTCCAACGAAGCTGTGAAACCTATTCTAATGAGCCCGACTTTGTGTCATCCTGATGTGTGCTTTTGCAGTGCCGAGTTGTCAGCATCTTGTACAGCCCGTAAGTCATTTCCTCTCAAACTGAAGGCGCCTTGAACTAGCAGGAAAAAGAGGGTCGAGCGACTCTCCAGCGTGCTTCGGATTACATGGTAGCGGGGCCAGGGTGACGACGTTGGCCCGCTGAACCGCACCTGAGTGTTGGGGGGACGCCCGGAGCCGGACATTGTGAAAGTGTCCGATTAGCAGATCCTCCGGACTGTAACGGGGATCCCTTCGGGACTTTGCTTTCATCAAGCGCTACTACTTGTTTGTTTTGGTGACCTGGGCCTTCTAAGCTAGGTGCTTTTAACGAGGGCTTCGCCTCGGATTTTCCTGTGGCTGTCATCCTGGCCGAGCAGGGTCTGGTTGTCTAATTAATTACTTTTTGATACGGCCGCCTGTCTCATCTCCATCATCGTGGTTTTCTTGCCCACGATGTGCAGCTCCTCCTGAGCAGGTTTGGGTTAAGGGTTTGGGGGTTTAGGGGTTTAGGGGTGCGGGACGTGCCTGCAAGTAGCCGAAGTCCTCCGCAATGTAGTTCTTTTTCCCCTCGCCTTCCAGGTCCTGTAGATGGCGTCTGGTGGGAACTACCCAAAAGGGTGGTACCTCAGGGCCGGAACTGCCGCGATGCACATATCATGAGCACAGCTGGACAGCTCTGAAAGAAGCATCTTGGATACTTCTTGCATGCCCTCCTGAGTGGGAGCGCTCCCACGAAACAAACACACACAAATCAATGGGTAGTCTGACCTGCATTTTCCAAGGTCCCATGCCCCGTTTCTTTCTTTCCCTGCCAGAAAACATTTCCGGTTCTTCCAGTCGAGCTACGGTCCTCAGACGTAAAAGATTGCGCAGACTAGCAATACTTCGTCGAGTGCGGCGTGGACGCTCGTACAATCGACATCGGAGACAAATCCGTCGGTGGCGTATCGGGGCGTGGAATGTTCGTCGTTGGGGCAGTACGGGAGTACCATATGATCCGTGGACCAAGACGGTATGTCTCCTTCGACTTGCGGAGAAACGGGGGTGGGATGCCATACTGTTGGCCGACGTCCGCTTCGAAACGGATGGGGTACATACGGTGGCTTTGCCTAATGGGGGGAAATGGAAAATCATCGTGGCAGGAAAAGTGGCGGTGGCACTGGCGGCAAACCTGGCGTCCATGTGGGAGCAGCAGGGCTGTCACAAACTCATACCCACGGCGTCGAACGGACGCGCATTGTTGGTGCGCATTCCGGGCGATAATCACATGGCGGGACTGGCGTTAATCGCGGTATACGGCCCGATCTCCAGCGCTAGACAGGTGGATCGGGATGATTTTTTGGACCAAATTCGGCGAGCGAAAAGAGGCGTAGGTTCACGAGACATACTGATCATCGGCGGGGATTTCAATGCGGACTTTGACACACAGAGGGAGAGCGGTACAAGACCACGAGTGGTAGGGCGTTGGGGTGGGGAGCGTACAAACCGCAGCGGTACGGACCTCTTAGACTTTTGCGATCAAGAGGCTCTCAGTGTAACGGATACGTTCTTTTATCAACCGATGCGAAAACGACACACATGGTGGCACCCAGCGCGAAGAACGGGACATACCATAGATCATTTTCTGACTAAGCAAACGCAAAGACGCTTCGTGGACGCTGTCAGAACGGTCCATGAGGGTAGACGGGGGAATGCGGGTGACCCGCTCCAGAGGGTGCGTTGGGGACGAGGCAACCAAGGGGGGTCGTCGGATTGCTGGGATGATTATACGGATCATTGGCCCATAGAGATATGTGTACACTTCTGGCCACAATGGACTCGCACGCGAAACACCGTAACGGATCGACATGTCCCCATGCCCAATATGCAATCCATTGTGTTATCAGGCCAGGAGGCTCAACAGAAAAAGGCTGAGTGGCACCAGAAGCTCGACCAACAACTGATTGCATTGGGCGGTAACCAACGTCAGCTCACATGGCATGAGATATCTACGGCATGTGCCGATACGAGTTTACAAGTTTTCGGCCCGGTACCCAGGAAACAGCACCAACCACATCTGATAGGACATGAAAGAGAAAATACACAGTTAGACAGAGACGTAGCAGATGCGTTGGCGCATCGTCGCAGTTTTAGGGACGACGTGTTACCACGCACACCTCTTAGGCAGCAGGCGTACGATGCGGCAGTTCAACAGGCCCGAGCAGCGGCACAAACGCGTAAGCGAACCCGGCATCGTTGGAAGTGGGAATGGGTTGATAGGATCACAAACGAGGTGTCAACGGCGCATGTCGATGGTGACATGCGCCAAGTCTTTGCATTAAACTTCGAGATGAGCGACTCAAGCAGAGAGCGGTTTCCAGCAGCAGAACCGTAATGGATCCGGAAGCCGAACGAGAAGCATGGAAGGAACACTTTCAGAAAATTCAGGAACATAGAGAGGTAGCTAGTGATAGAGTTTGGCAAAACGTAGCATCCAATCCGGAGGTGGCGCACTGGTTGTCTATCGAACCCACGGACGCGGAAATATTAGAGTGTGGAAAGAAAATGAAAAACGGGAAAGCAGCTGGAATTGATGGGTTCCTGGCCGAGTTCTATAAATACGGCAGCCAGATGCTAATTCAGCAAATCAACGGGGTCGTTAGGGAAATGTGGCGATTTGCGGTACAAGCGCCAAACAGAATGGAAGCGAACGCGTGGCCAGAAGCCTGGAATGTGGGACTCGTTGTACCACTTTGGCAAAAGAAGGGCAACAAAGCTGATAAAACGACATGGCGGGGAGTCACGTTGTTGAGTGTTGGGTCCAAGTTGTTAGCTCGGGTGGTTGCGCAAAGGACTCTGAAGTGGTCGGATCCCTGGCTCCATGAAGCGCAGGCTGGCTTCCGGAAGGGGAGGGGCGTGGATGATGTTTTGCAGGTAACTCGTCGAATTGTGGAGGAAGCCAGCGCATGCCAAGCCGATGATTCTGTGGTTTTGATTCGGTTGTTTGATATCGAGAAGGCTTATCCGCGAGTAAGTCGGGACACGTTGTGGATGTTAATGAAAAAGAGGGGGCCCCCAACGGGTTTATCAAGATTTGTCAAGCGCTCCACGAGCACACACGGTATTCAGTTCAGGTTTACGGCGGAAATTCTTCATCGTACGCGGCGGATAAAGGTTTGCGGGAGGGGTGCCCTTCCAGCCCCCCGCTTTTCAATGTCTATCATCAAGCGGTCACGGAGGATTTCCGAGTACGAAGACAGGCGCAGGCACAGAATCTGGGGCTGGAACCAGGGTTACCGTGGACAGTCAAGGTGGACGGCAGGGTGGATCATCAGTTTCACAGTCGCGGGCACTTGTTCCGACGTAGTCACGACGCGGTATTGGGAGACGTGGGCTTCGCAGATGATACTTGTTTAATAGGAGTTGCGGAGGAAATGCGATCGGCTGAAACCTTTTACTGGAACACACAATGTTGGATTGGCGGGAAAAAGTCCACCCAGGCAAAACGGAAGGTCTACAAGTATCCACTACACCAAGGGCACCTTTTGATGTGCGATATAAGGGCGAGTTACCGGTTGTGCGTCACGTGGGGGGAATGCTACAAGAAACGGGGGGACAACAGTCGGACACCGCGCATCGCAGGTCAAAAGGCTTTTTCCGCATAGCACAAACTGCCAGGGCGTGACATTTTGGCACTAGATCTCAGCAGAGTAAGATGCCACACAGTATCCGAGTCAAAATTATGAAAGCAGTGCTAATGCCGACGTTGACTTGTTTTGGGCGATCACATTCATGGAATCGCGATAGCATACGCGGAATGCAACAGGCGGTCCAGAGATGCCTCAGTGTGCGTAGGCATTGGAAACGCGCTCACCATGTGTCGTCAGAAATGCTCAATGAAATCGCGCAATGGGAACCTTTTCATCACACGATTGCACGACAAAGCCTGTTTTGGCTCGGGCACTTGGCACGAATGGGCACCCATCGCCTGCCCAAGCAGGCAGCGTTTGGTTTTTGGAAAGGTCATATGATTCGCGAACGGCCGATTATGAGGCAAGGACAATGGTTCAAATACCTATTGGCGCAGATTCAAGTTTCGCAGCTGGGCTGGTTTCGATTAGCACAGGATCGAGTAGCGTGGAAAAGGGCGGTGGTAACGGAGTTTTCCCACGGGATCTCCCTCTCGAAATAAAATTCGTAGGCTGAACGAGTTTCGTTTGTCAGACGGAAGCCCGGGCATACATGAATTCGCATACAGACGGGAGAAACGCAAACGGGAACGCCAGATGGTCAAAGACTCAGTAACGGGCATGTATCACTGCCCGATGTGTCCTGCCCGTTTTGACAAGGCAAACAGTCTCAAGTATCACTATGAGTAGCTGACCCAGACCTTCTGACCGTACAAATGTATTCATGTTTGCGGCCAAACATGGCGTGTGGAAAAACGGCGGCGTGAACATGTGTGCCCAGCGCCCCCTAGAGTGCGGGGGCCACCGAAAATTCATCCGTTCGGCAATTGTTGGTTGTGTGGAGAACGAATGATAGTGCCAATCTTGACAAACCTGATCCTTCAATAAGAACTTTCCAGCTTATGTCGTGGTGAACGATTTGCCATGAGAAAGGCTACAGGGGGCCTGTGGCCTAATGGATAAGGCGTTGGTCTTCGGAACCAAAGATTGCAGGTTCGAGTCCTGCCAGGCTCATGTCTTTGTTTGATTCCAACTTGTCCGTGGTGTGAGTGAGTTTGCTCGTAAGGCCCGGGCAACGCGAATCTAACATGCATTCGG